AGATGCATTTTCAGCCTCTGCTTTCATCAATAGTTGGGGCCAATACATGGCTGGGCTTAAGCTCAATGGGCCATTCACCCTCTTTAAGTCAGTTGCCAAGATTGAAAAACCTGATGACCCAACCCAACTTGCCAAGGAACCACTTTCGGCCAAGCAGGTCAACCCCGTTGGAGACCTTTGGGTAACTGCCAATAACTGCAAAATGGAAACTTTTTCTCTCTACTTGAGCAAACTACATCTGTCAACCTTACATGCAAAGATATGTGGTGAAGATGGAGGTAAAAGAATTTCGCCTTTCGAGTCCGTTTGCGCTGTTATTTGGCAATGCATAGCCAGAGTTAGAGAAGCATATGAACCACAAATTGTGACAGTTTGTAGAAAAGATCCCTACTATGATACTAATGTTCCTAGCAACAGTCAAATCATAAGTGCAGTCAAGGCAAATTTCTCTGTCACGGAAGCAGATTTGAACAAGTTAGCAATGTTGCTAGCTGAAGATCAGGGCCTGGATGAAAGAAACAGGATTGAGGCAGCTGTAGAGAAAGAGAATGGGGTGACAGATTACATCATGTATGGGACAAATTTAACATTTGTGAACCTGGAAGATGCCGGTTTATATGAATTGGAGTTAAAAGGACATAAGCCAATGTTTGCATATTATTCTATCCAAGGTGTGGGAGACGAAGGAGCAGTTTTGTTTCTTCCAGGGCCCCCAAGTACTGAGAGTGATGCCAAAGAAAGATTGGTCACCATAACTTTGCCAGAGGATCAATTACTGAAGCTTAAGTCTGAGCTAAAAAGGAGTGGTTTACTTCTTGCAACTGAACTTGAATGATTGCAGCACTTTGCAATCGGCATGTGTGCTTGCCTGGGCGTGGGTGTTTTTTTTTTTTTGTGTGGAACTACCTTGGCTTTTAGTAATTATTATTACTTTTATTGTACTGTTAAGAAATAATTGGCTGCATATGTTGCTGCACTATTTCAGGCTTTCAGCCTGGTTGATAACCAGCAGCAGCAGTTGTTGCATATCATTGAAGTAGTAATGTACTGAAGATAACATGCAATTGTAAAATAGAAAAATATATTCAACTCTTGATGAATAGTTGAACTCTAAATGCTTCAAGGTTTTGGGAAATTTTATCAGAGACATTGAATATTACAATTTGAAGTTAAAATGTGTGAGTGGAAGAAGTTAATTCTCGATAGGGAAATGCAACCAGAAGCAGTAGGCAGTAGCAGAGATCAGCTAGACTTGCATTAGTAGGCTTTGAGGGGCCAAGCTAAGATTGACAGGAAAATAGAATTAAGTGATTGGAACGAACGCCAATTTCTACAATAAACCATACCAAGATTCGAGTTCAAGAGTAGTTACACAATTGAATTATTCATCTTTTTTTTGTTTTCTTGGCAGTAAAAAGCTATGTATTTGACATTAATCCATCTCTTTCATCCATTCCAGAAGTTGAAAAACTGTGGGGAAGGCTTTGGCAAATCGATTCCAGGGCGGTCTATATTGGTGCGTATGCACAGTCATGGTATTCAACCGCAGATTTGACTGGCATCATTGCACCTGCTAAGAACGAAGCTATCATGGTAATGAAAATATTCGATGCTGCCATGATATTAATATCCTTTGATACCAATGGTCTCTCTTCTCTTCCCTTCCTTAAATTTGAGTTGAAGAGAGATTTTTCCTAATGTTATAAGTAACATGTCTAATGTTATAAGTAAAGCCTTCAATATTCAGCAAATTCTTCTCTCTGTCTTGAGTGGGGCATTAGTTGGTTTCCTTTATGTAATGATTATGTGCATTTTCTTTTATCTTAGTTGTTGTTAAACACCAAGATTTTACCGTTATTATAACAGGATTTTCCTATACTGAAAGAAGCAAATATTTGTAGATCAGTGCACAGATTTTGTGACTTTCTGTTGTGGGTGTAGATGAAGTTCACAATGTGGGTACAAAGGCAAAGGAAGCAGCAAGTCAGCAACTACAACCACAGAGTTGGACCAAATATCCCTGAGGTTATAAAATTTTAGTGGATTGGACCCTGATAAGGGTTGTCTTCCCTTCAAAATTAGCCTGAGCGGCCACCCCACCAAGCATCAACTTCCTGAAATCAACCCAAATATTCTTCCAACACAACATATACTCAACATTTGTTTTAGGACTCAAGAAGATTCTTTATACACATACTTTTAGAACATTCTTTATTTGTTTTAAATCTCGATTATGCAGCTGTACCAAACCAAACAACTAATCTTTGGCTTTGTAATGTTATTGACATGATATTTTATGTTCGAAAGGTCTTTTCTGCAGAACCATAGTTTGCCTTTTAAGCAACTTTTATTTAAAGAATTGTTAGTGCCAAATCATCCTGGAGTCCAAAAGCAAGCAACAACACCTGATACAAAAGTCAACAATTTAGTGCAGCACACAGCCAATGTCACAAAAAACCACCCACAAATGCAACCACCATCACTTTAGGGAACCAATATCTCATGATTGACAGAGTTGAGAGTAGAGAAAAGGAGTTTTTGATGCATAATCAAACTATAGATTTGGACAAACTCCCAAACATATTGTCAGAAACTTGGAATCAAATGTCTGCCAACCTAGCGTTCACATCAAATAAAATAGTGCTATAAAAGGCCCAACTAGCATGAGTAAGAGGTTCCCAAATTGAACCAAGCAACTACCAGCACACCGAGTTTTTCTTTTTTTTAACACTTTTAAAGGCTGACATAAGGTTTTATCTGTTTTCTATTTGAGTGAATTTATGTCCCTGGCATGCACAACCTAGGACTCCTTTTCAGGCCCCCCTGCCTTACGGTGGGCTATGTGACCACTGAGGTCACGGTTGACAAAAGGCTTTAACTGATGCAAATTACAATGTTAAACTCTTGACACAATCACAAGTCTAGACACAAAATTGATATCCTTTTCCATCATATATAGCTTGCTGCCTAGAATGGAGCTTTTGAGATGAGGTGTACCCAAGTAACAACCCAACATAAAATGAAAATTGCAAAGAAGTTTCAAGACCAGAATACATGAAAACAAAGCAAAATTAACTTGAGCAAGATAAATTCTACATAAAATTTTTGTACAATCGTTTGTTAGTAACTTAGTATGATTAATATGGCTGAAAGACAGTTGAGCATTTGATTTTTGATCAAATGCTAGATTAGCATTGAAAGTACTCTCTTTTGAACAATGCTAACCCAGTTGCCATCTATAATATAGACAAAGATAAAACCAAGAACCGAACCAAAAGGCTATTCATATTTGTATGCGTGGAGGAAAAAGAGAAGTTATTTATTGTTCTCTGGACGATTCATCCCTTTGCCTGCGCATTCGAGCTCCCCATGACATGTTTCCTCTAGCATCCCTGTTCATGTTTCTTCTCTTCAGCTCTGATAGCTGAGATTGCCAACGATTTTTCCACTCACACCGCTCTTCCAGTTCCTGGTAGCAAATGGAATGCATGAATTTAAGGTAAACGAAACTGTTTCTCTCGACACATTGGTAAACATTAAACAAAAGTATGAATGTGTAAACAAAATATACGTATTTGACAGCCCCAAAACAAACAATTATCCTTTTAGGTCGAACCTTTAGAGGCAAAAAAACTAAAGCGACATGCAACTTTCATGAAAAAAAAGAAAACAACCCAAAACTAGAAGAAATATCATAATAAAAGCTAAAATTGCTCCAACTCTAAAGATCAGTCAAATATTAGGGTGCAAAACAATTAAGGGATCGGACAAAATCGAATGATTTTGATATCATCATTACTAAATAAAAAACAGCCAAATCCTATTTGCAAAGGAAAGCAATAAACAAGTTCTTTTTTTACACTAATAAACAACCATAGGCAATTTGATGGATACGAGAGGTGCCCAGGTTTGAACCCAAGACTTAAAGCCTACAAGGGGTTGGTTATCATGGACTGCTAAGAAGTTCTATCTAAGTGAATGACATGTTTGAACATGATGAATTGAGAAACAGTGAAGAAAATAAAATACCAAAACTAAGAAGGATGACTAGTTGGACACTGTTATCCTTGCAAAAGAAAGAAGCATATCAACAGCCAGTTTCACCAAATTAAAAGGCATATGGAAATTCCAGATTAAAAGTTCTACCTATCAATGCCAAAAAGCTAAAGGAGAAGAGTTAATTGCTTATTCCCTACAAGCCCAGACATCATACAAGATATTAATCAATATGTATTCAACTTTAACCGACAGCATAACATGAAAAGACTAAAGACCATAACAAATCAAAGAAGATGAAATACTGTCTAGTCTTTCATATCCTTGAAGCTTACCATATAGTGCAGTTCTTTTTTTCTTCTTCTTTTATTATTATTTTGATAAGAACAACCTTTCCCTCATGTAAACCAAACTGCTAGGAGTGGAAGTCAAGTAAGTTTATCCACTTCAATGAACTTAGCCAACACAAAAAGGATGAGAACAGGAATAGATGTGAACTTCCGCATCAGTTTTTGACCCTAGCTTCTTCATCAATCAAAACAAACTAAACTTCCACCAAATCCCGACTGGTACAAAACTTAGAGAACTTTTCCAACACCAAAATCATTAATCCAAAAAGGTAACTTACCTCCTCTAGGTAATCAAAGACTTACTGAATTTCCATATGTACAAGAAATTTCCCCGAGAGCAAAAAATTCAAGCCAGCAGCAATCAACAAGCTAATTTAATAACTTAAATAAAAGTAACCCAGATACCCAGTACTCCCAAAAACACCAACCAAACCTTCCCAAAATCAATCGAAAGAATTAAACATTAAAAAGGAAGGCAGAATACCTCATCGTATTGGTAACGTCGTCTAGCAGAGAAAGCAAGATGAATCCCCAAAGCCAAGTCGCGATCATACGACGCCCTCCTCCTCGAATCCGACAAAGTCTCATAAGCCTCCTGGACTCGTATAAACCGCTGGGTGTACTCCTCCACCCGACCCGGCGGCGACACGTCCGGGTGGTACTTCCTCGCCAGCTGCTTATACGCCTGCTTTATCTCCGGTAAAGTACCCGTCTCGGGTATCCCCAGCAACTCATAGAAACTCACCTCCTTCCTCGCTTCATTGATCCTCGCCTTGATTTTCAACGACCCGAATTGGACCCGGGTGGGGTCGACAGGTCTTCGTAACCGGATGAAGGAAGTGTCGGGGGTGAAGAAGCGGGCGTCGGTTCCCGGAATCGCCGCTAATCCGTAACCGCAACGCATCTTAATAATTCTGAAAAACGCTCTTTTCCGTTAATTACGACTAATTTTTATTGATCTGTTTTTTTGTACATAACATCTATTTGTTCTTAAGACATTTTTGCAAAATGAAACAGCGGCTTATAAGCAAAACGGCCACGGATTTTTGTTATGTGGAGCGGGGAGGAAAGAAGACAAAGTGATATTTGTGGAAGGGGAAAACCAAAGGACTAAGGTTTGGTGGGATTAAGGACAAGTGTCCATTCCAACTTTACAAGGTTGTATTTGGTTTTTTCCTCCTGGATTTGTATTTTTCCTTTTCTTTTTTTTTTTTAGAAAAATGAAATGCACTACTTTAATAACCAGAAATATATGTTGAAAAATAGAAAACACTGGTAATAATTATGATTGCTAAATTTAGTATTGTTCTCATCATTTTTATTTTTCCTCATCTTATTCCAATATATATATATATTTATATTGGGTAATAATTTATTAATTTTTAAAATATTTTATATCTTAATTATTTCTCTCACTTGATATAATACTAATTTTTCGTAATTTATTGCATATTAAGTAAAGTACGATGTACCTTCAAAATCAAATTCTTCCAAATCATTAAATATATATATATATATACCACATTCCCAAACTTGCACTTCAAGTTACAAAACTTGTGACCAATGTGGTTTGGGATGGGCACCCAGATTTAGCAGCCATGACTGTACCTTTTCACAAAATAAAAAAACCTTACCAACCTACTCATTTTCATTAATCAACAATACATATGATATTTTTATACTTTATCATTTATCACATGATAAATAATGTTACATTAAATATTATTAATTAAAATTTAAATATTTATTTATTTATTTATTCAATCTTAATCAATAATATTCAATGTTATATTATTTATCACGTAACAAATAATATAATATAAAAATACCATATGAACTATTAATTAATAAAAATTAATCAATAATTAAAAAAAATTTATTTAATTTAAAATAAGATTTTAAAAATTTATTTAAACGTAATAAAAAATAAAAATTAAATTAATTTTTTTTGATATAATTCATGAACTTATTTTAATATTTAACCTTTAACATAAAAGATAAATATTATTAAATTACATTTGCTGGGATACCCAGAACTATTTGAGTCATGACAAAAAATCAAATGCATATTACAATAAGTCCAGTATCCGGTTTCGCTTCCGCATCGTTTTCAACAATGTTTAGATTATGACAACAGCTGGATGAGCCCCGAGGAGAGCAGGTATAATCTGAAAGCTTGTCTAATCACGTTGTTTGCATTCTGCGTGGTCTACCATGAGTTATTGATTAATTTAAGTTTCGTACAACTAACAGAGTGACTAAAATAATTGACAATCGTGGGTCACGCTCCTTCCATGGAAAATGTAGACAAAAAGAGATGGATAGAATGGATAGCCACCATCTCAGTTTATCAATTTAGTTATCAACAAAGTCATCGATTGATTTTGTCCTCATTTTATGATGATTTAACAATTTCTTACCATTACCATCCTAAAATGTGTCCCAATTGGTTGAAAGTAACTTCAATGGAGTCGCAAGGACAAAGTTGATAATAATAATAATAAAAAAAAACAAAATCCTCTTGTGATTTGTTTAGAGTAAAATAAAAAATAAATAGGGTAATAGGCAGAGAGTGAGGGTGATGTATTTAAAAAAAAATCGTGACTCGTGGTTCTATTTAAATTAGAAGGCCACAGGCAATATTTAGAACTACAGTTTGACATTAAAATGTAATGAATCAGCTCATCGCATATTCCCTAACCAGTCAATCCTTTCTTGCAACCAGCATCTTAAGATGACGCCCCAAGGGTAAAGATGGGGCACAAAATGAGAGAAAAACAGAACAACTACAGACATGGGGGAAGCGAGTGAGAGAACCGATGGGGCGGGATTGGTGTTGGTAGGGGATTTTAGTAAGTTCTGTAAAATGCAAGAACATTTTTACATCAGCTTCACGCCACTCTAACATTTCCAGAGAGTTTGAGACCAAGGCTGAGCTCTTATACCACCATATCCATGCCTCATCCTAAAAAGAAACTGAAAGAAAGAGA